TAAAGCAGATTAATCCCCGGAGGTGAGTACTGACAGATAAGGGACTCCAAGAAATCCTGTGGAGTGATGGAGTGTTCTAGATCTTGATTGCTGTATGGTTATACAAGAGCATATATTTGGCTGTACACTTGAAGTGTGTGCGTTTTATTGACAGTATACTGCAAGTTAATCCCTTAAAAACAAAAATAAATGGTGTTTTCTGCTTCATTGGGTCCATCCTATTTTATGTTGTGCTTAAAAATGGTGTCCCTGATTGCATCTGAAAGGAAACTGGGTAGCCAGGGACAGGCGTGGGAAAGAGTTCTTCAAGCTGTTTACCCTTTTGTACTTTTAAACTTTTGAACTGTGAGGCGGTATTAGCGATTTCTTAAAATAAGTAAAATTTAAAAATAAGAAAAAGAATTTTAAAAACATGTTCTTTGTTGGTAAGATGAAAAAGACACAGCCCTAAGACTATTGGGCCATTGCTCAATCTATTTCAGGTTGTGGAAATCCTGCTACTTGAGACAGGCACTATCTGTGGTCTGTGTTTTATCAAATTCCTTGGAGCTATGAGTGAATGCCATTTTTTTAGTATTATTTAGTATTCCAGCATTTTTCATAAAATATATCATAGATAAGAACACATACATACAGACACAGAGTTTTAAAATAATCAGAACTTGAATGTCATGTAACTATCACCAGAGCCAAAAAACAGAACACTGCCTACACCCCAGAACTTTCTATGTGCCTCTCTGTGGTCATACCTTCTCACTCCTCCCAGAGATAAACACTTTCTTGATTTTAGGGATAAGAATGTCTTTCTAGGGGTGCCTGGGTGGCTCAGTCAGTTAAGCGTCTGACTCTTGATTTTGGCTCAGGTCATGATCGAGGCCCACGTGGGGCTCTACACTGAACGTAGAGCCTGCTTAGGATTCTCTCTCTCCCTCTCCTTCTGCCCCTCCCCCACCTTTCTCGCCCTCTCTTAAAAAAAAAAAAAAGTCTTTCTAATCTCCCATGTCTATAGCCCTAATTGATACCGTTTAATGTGTTCGAAAACTTTTAAAAAACTGGATCATTCTACACATATTGTGTGTTTTGCCCAAAGTTACATTTGTAAAATTCATCTGTTTGTACAATTCATTGTTGCCTATAGCTGCAGTTTATTTTCACTGTGATATAGTATTTTTTTAAAGATTTTATTTATTTGAGAGAGAGAGAGAGCACGAGCTGGGGGAGGGGCAGAGAGAGAGGGAGAAGCAGACTCCCCACGGAGCAGGGAGCCGCACACCAGGCTCAATCCCAGGACCCTGAGATCGTGATCTGAGCCGAAGGCAGACACCCAACCAACTGAGCCACCCAGGTGCCCTTCACTGTGATATAGTATTTTATGGTAGGAATGCATGTACCACAATTTACTTACCCATTAAAAGATTCATGGACACTTTGACATTTTTTTGTCCCCACTGCTTATAAAAAAAAACAAGTCCAAACACATGGTCTGACATTCAAGGTGACCACACTGTCCCCAACTATGTGTCCAAAACACCTAGCCAGTCTCCTCTTCCTATTTTTCTCTACCAACCACTATCTGACTGCACCTGTTCAGTATATTGGTCAAAATATTAAGAACAATGTCTTAGGGCTGGAATGCTGTTGACCTTATATTAGATCTACCCAAATCGTCCTGTCCACCCAGGTCTTGTTCAAGCACAATCACCTTAGGAAGACCCCACGATCTCTTCCAGCCACTATGCTGTCACTCGCCCAAAACTCCATCAAATGAATGATGCTTTCTCTGTTTCTTCCACCACACCTGCTTCATGCGGCCTTATGTTATACCCATTTGTTATGGCTGTGTCTCAGATTTTGTGCTTCTAGTGCACAACACTAAAATCTTGCTGATAAAGGACAGGTGAAAAATGTTAGAGCTTTTGAACCCCAACTCAAAGTCTTGAAAGCTACTGCTGGGATCAGGTACTAAATCATTCAAAAAAGGTTTAAAAAGTTAATTTCCACAAAAATGCAGTAACACCAATTAAAGATAAAACATCATCACTTTTGCTTAAGACAAGATTTGGGTTCCTTATATTTTTAACATTGATCATTTTTTCTCATTAAAAAAATACAGTTTTAGAGTCCCTGGGACAGAGAATGCTAGAGTGTCACATAATTTAAGATCACTTGATAAGAAGCACATTATTTAAAGAAAATGATGACCTTGAAAATCATTTTAACCCCAAAAGCAAGAGAGGGGGATAAAACACCAAAATTTTAATGAAATTAATAAATGGATCAGAAATTACAACTAGTAAGTATTTCAGAATTTTAAAAGCAGGACTCTCATCTTTTTGTCAAAGAAAATACATGCGTGGAATGTAGATACTGCAAAGAGGAGAAGAAATAAAACAGATAAGCAGAAAGTTATAGCTGGACTGAATGCCTGGCCATTGTTTGCCTCTCCATCAGACTCATTAAAAAAAAAAAATGGATGGGGGCGCTCTGCTGGTTCAGTCAGTAGAGCGTGTGACTCTTGATCTCAGGGTCATGAGTTCAAGCCGTACACTGGGCGCAGAGCTTACTTTAAAAAAAAAAAGAAAAGAGTTTAAAAAAATGGATGGAAGACATCACTCCAAAATAATACCAAATATGCCTTTCAATTATTTTATGCAAAAATCCTTCTTTAATGGATGTTATTAAAAATACATCACAGAAAAAATGTTTGTAATTTACATGACAGAAATTAGGCTAAAGTTGTTAATATAAAAAGAGTTCCTACAAATCAACAGGGAAAAAGCCCAATGGCACAACTGAAAACATGGACAAAGTTATTTATAAATAGATAATGCAAAGAAAATTATAGTGGCTCTTGAACTTAAGAAAAAATGCCCCAACCCAGAGAACTATAAATTAAAACCAAATTGGGATGCTCTTTTCACCTACCTGATAATGCAAGGTCAAAAAGTCTGGTAAAACACTGTTGGCAAGGGAATAGAGAAACAGGCAGTCATACACATTGCTGGCTGGAGTATAAATTTATAGACCGCCAAGGAAATTCTATAATGATATCCATCAAAAGAACATGTGCACAGGGGCGGTTAAACACCCAACTCTTGATTTCAGCTCAGGTCATGATCTCAGGGTCTTAGGATTGAGCTTGGGATGAAGGCTCCCTGCTCAGTGGGGAGCCTGCTTGGGGATTTTCTCTCTCTCCCTCTCCTCATCCCCTCCCCCTGCTCACATGCGCTCCATCTGTCTCTCAAATAAATAAATCTTAAAAAAAATTACACATGCACATTCTCTTGGACCCAGTAATTCCACTTCTGGGAAACTATCCTACAGAAATGCTTTCATATATGCAAAATAATGCATGTCCAAGGCCATTAGCTAGAACACTCAAATAGCAGAAGTTTAGAAAATATCTTAGTCCATCAGTAGGAGAAAGGTTAAATAATTTTTGACATCCTTATGATGGAATTCTATGCAACTGAAAAAGATCAAGGAAGTGATCGCCAAGACATACAAGAAGAGGAATAACCCAAATAGTATCCTACAATTTGCATAGAATATTGCCTATTTTTAAAAATATGCACAGTCTGGAACAATACAGAGGAAACTGGTGACATTGGTTGTCTCTGGGAGAAGACCGCATGGCCAGAGACAGGCATGGGAAAGAGATCTCCAAAATGTGTATCATTTTTTTACCTTTAAACGTTTGAACTCTGAGGCTATTAACTGTTTTTTAAGTAAACACAATTTAAAATTAAGAGAATTTTAAAAACATGTCCCTCACTGGTAAAATGAGGGAAACACAGTCCTAAGATTATTGTACTGTGGCTTGATCTAGTACAATGCAATATATCCTCCTTATCTGAGGGCTCACATAACTTCAGAACAGGATAAAGAAATTTGGAATAAACACTAGAAACACATACAGCTAAAATATCCAAAATAAATTCACATTCAGCGACACTGACAAGATACAGCTCACTTTTAAAGAGAAATCAAGACTAGCACAGAACAGCAGAAAAATTTTCAAGTTGCTCCAGGTAGCCTAGAAAATAGCAAGCTGTATATGTTTTGCGTACTTTCTTACTTCCTAACTTTATGGTTAATAAGTCCATGTCCTGTAACAAGGTATCTCCTGCTGAACCCCTGCTTATTCTGCACTGTGGGGATCATGCTTATTATGAGGACACAGTTGCAAAAAAGAAGCTTTTCTTTACCCTCCATCAGACTCCTAACAGATGACAGGGCACGTCCTTGAATGAAGGAGCCACTTTCCCTGCCCTTACTGGTGAGGAGAGCTTTTTGGAGAGACAAACCTGTTGATCAGGGGCTTTTCAGAGAACATTCCTGTAGATTCTATCTTGTACTTCCCCTGAAAGTATGACTGTTTATCACACTGTGCACACACCTGGGAGGGGGGGCGAGCAGCGGGGCGATGTACATAATCCACCTGTTCGCCTCCTGGTGAGAAACCAGGGAGTAAAGACAGTAAACCTAACCCTCCAGGGAATGGAAAAACAAATCATTCAGTGCCCATCTCAGGTGGCTGATGAAGGCGGCGCAGTCTTGAGCGTGTACCTAAGCTGGTCCAGATGTCTGCTCGGGGTGAAAGAGCGAATACAAGTACAAGTACGTTTGCACTGGCACGATTTGGGGAAGCAGGTCAAGACCTGTGAGTTTTCGAAAGCAAAAGCCAAAGTTTCCAAGCACGCTGGGCACACCTGTAAGTACAGGTGCATGCGGATCAGCCGACCACCTCCCATGCCAGGCTGTATACGCACACGGAGGATAGCAACCGTTCACTGGGAAGTGTTTCTGGAGGAAAGTTGAAGTGTGCGTCTACCTGTTCGAGAAAGGTGGCCCAGAAAGTGGGGTAGGGCTGACACTTCCTCCGCGGGGTTCAGGGTGCACCCCCCCCACACCGGGCCCGGGGCGAGCCCTCCGCCCGCTCCTGGGCGCCCCAAGGTCACCTGCCCTCCTGGGCGTCCCCACCCACCCCGAGCTCTCACCAGAATAGTAGGTTGGCCGCGACGAAGCCGAGCAGGCTGCGCAGCGGCCTCTTCCAGCTCAGGAGCTCGTCCGCGCGGCAGCCCAACCACAGCACGGGCTCCCCCAGCAGCCAGGTCACGGCGGCGGCCACCCCGCCGGCGGCCTCCTCCACCTGCCGCCCCGCCCTGGCCGCCACCGCTCCTTTCTCCTGCGCTTCCTCCCCCTGCTCCTCGGGGGGAGCCCGGGGCGGAGGCGGCGGCCGCAGCGCCTGCTCCCCGACCGCCGGAGCCGGGCATCCCTCGGCGGCGTGCTCCGGAGGCGCGGGGCTCGCCATCTTCAGCCGCGCTTG